GCCAACTTTTTTCTTTCAATGAGTCTCAAAGGTGCTACAAGATCTCTCTACGTACTCATGTCTCAAAGAGGAGAGAGAAAGAGACAGAAGACAAACAAAACAGGAACGTTTTCCACCATGCCGAGATGGTGAGCTTTTATAAGTTCTTCTCTCCGGCGTGGGTTCTCTCGTGTATCACAAACAAGAGTCTCTGACTGAAGCTCTGACCGCAATGTGCACAATGGTAGGGTTTCTCTCCCGTGTGGACCCGTTCGTGCCGTAAAAGGTTACACCGGATGCTGAAGCTTTTCCCGCAGACGGAGCAGTTGTACGGCTTCTCTCCCGTGTGGGTCCGCTTGTGCCGGACGAGGGTCGACTTCCGACTGAAGCTTTTCCCGCAAGTCAAGCAGGTGTAAGGCTTCTCCCCCGTGTGGATTCTCTCGTGTACGACAATGTTGGCGCGGATGTTGGACGTGGCCCCACAATAAGAGCACTTGAACTTCTGCATCGGCTTTTTCTGGTTCTTGAGGAGGTCCAAGCTTTGAAGGAGACTTTTCCCAAAACCTGTCTCCCTGGTGCTTTTGCTGTGGGTGGTTCTCTGGGATTTTTCCTTCCTATCTGGGAAGGTGTTTTCACAGTCTTTGCCTTCACAAAGGAAAACCTGCTCTGTTATCTTCCACGGATAGCTTTCTTGGGGCGTTTGTGATCCCTGCGGGCTTCCATGATTCTCTTCTGGCTCAGAACCTGGGAAAAATTTCTCCTCGGTTCCTTCCACTTCACTGACTCCCATTTGTTCTGAGTCTGGTCCTTCCAGCTGAAAGGGCTCCTCTTTGCTCTCCAAAACTGGATCCTTGATTCCTAAGAACAAAACATGAACAGTTATTGGTGTCTAAAAGACGGTGTTTGTAAATCTGTAAAATGGGTAAGGCAAGCTCTAGGGAAGTGGTGACCAATGGGCAGGGTAACCAGATGTCCTAACTGCAAGGGAGGACAAGGTACCATAAAATGTGGGACATTCAAGGAAAATGCAGGAAATTGCAAAGTAAAAGCTAAAAACACTCATACAGTTGGCCCTCTTTATCCACAGATTTTATATCAACGGATTCAAACATCCATGGCTTGAAAATATTCCAAAAAGTATAAATTCCAATAGCAACCCTTGATTTTCCATTTTATATAAGGGGAACCATTTTGTTATGCCATTATATTTAATGGGACTTGAGCAGCCACAGATTTTGTTATCCATGGGGGATCCTGGAACCAAACCCCAGCAGACAACAAGGACCCACTGTCTAAATATAAATTCATGCTTCTTACTTACGCTCCAAATGGAGGACATTTTGGAATACCTCCTGGACAAAAGGAAGAAATGTAGGACATGTACTGGAAAAGGATAATGCCTGGTCAACCTGCCCAGTCCCAATCTTTTTTCTTATTTTGTTTTCCTCAGCAATTTTCAGGTGATTTTTTTTCCACACCTAAACCAGACAAAAGCACTCCAAAATGGTGGCTTACATCTTCCAACCCCTCAGAGTGTCCTCACTACAAAAAGGCCGCAAATCAGCCAAAATGACAGCAGGAAGTTCCATTGTCATAGAATCATAACACTTTATCACATAGGGGATGGGCATCATTATCCTGTCCGGAAAGTGCGATTGAATGTGATCGCACAAAAAGCATTCTCACTACACCACACTGACCCTAGGAATGTCCTGTCAATGAAGTGGAATTGTATTATCAGGATCTTCTGATAATACAAAATTAAGGGAAATGAGGGGACAATTCCACTTTATTCATGGGATCAGCGTGATTTAGTGAGAAAACCTTTCGCACGATCACTTTCCATTGTGCTTTCTGGATGGGACAATGTCTGGATAAGCACAATTTGGTGTGAAAGACCTTCCCATAATCTCACAATAAGCACAGGATAAGCATGTGACAGGCACAGGATAATGACATCCCGTCCCTCATATGATAAAGTCCATAGAGTTGGAAGAGACCCCAAAGGTCATCCAATCCAGCCCCATTCTGCCATGCAAGAACTCACAATCAAAGCACCCCGGACATCCAGCCTCTGTTTAAAAACTTCCAAAGAAGTAGACTCCACCACACTCCAAGGCAACATATTCCACTCCAAAGTTATTTCCACTAGAGTTCTTTCCATTAGAAAGAAGTTCTTTCTAATATTTAGGAGGAATTTCTTTTCCTGTAATTTGAATCCATTACTCTGGGTCCATTTCTCTAGAGCAGCAGAAAACATGCTTGCTCCATCCTCAATATGACACCCCTTCAA